ACTAGGGAGAAATATTCACCTGTTGAATATTGTAAGACAATTAATGTGACTGAATGTATATTAAAAAAAAAGAAATGAAAACAAATAAAAGAAAAAAAAAAAGAATCGGCAAGGAAGAGTTAGCTGGGACCCACGGAGCTGCCTCGGTGGAGCTAAAGGACAAGCTCAGGGCAGGCAGGTCCCAGCACCCTGGTCGCCCGCCCACTCCACATCTCCGGAGAACCCACTCGGGCGAGCTAACCAAGTCACACCGCCCGTGGTCTTAAGGCATCGCCATTCCCTCCTGGGGAGCGAGGCCCGAGGCTGGTGAGTGCAGGGCTGTCTCCACTTGAAGACAGTGCTGCAGAAAGGCTAGCTCCGGAGGAGGAGGAGGCGGAGCCGGCTGTGGGAGGTGGGGTGGAGGAATCTGGTCTGAGTCCATTCTAGGTTCAGGGCAAACCCTTGAAAGTTAGAGCCCAAAGATGCGGAATTCGTTTCTTTTCAGTGTACACAGTAACCTCCCCTCATCTGCTGTTTCACTTTCCACAGTTGAAATTTATCTGAAAGTCAGTTGTGGTTTGAAAATATTCAATGGAAAATTTCGACTTGACACTCCTGGCTGTTTGGCTCTCCACGTACGCAGGCTCGCGCGCTTGACTGGATCCGTGCACAGACCACCTGCGTCTGGTCACCTGGCAGGTTTGGGAACACCTGGGGGGCATGCACTTAAGAAGCCCCGGCGGGGATCTCACACACTGTAACACTGAGAAACCCCGCAGTCAGAGCAGTCAGAGAGCGAGGGAGGAGGACATTCCCGAGCTGGCACTGGAACAGAGCGCGTGAGATCCAAGGGCCAGGGCCCATCGAAACCACCAACTACCAGCGACGGTGACCGGGGAGAAGGCCAGCGGGTGCCACGCGGTGTTACCAGCACACTGGCGAGCTTCCCGTGTGACCATGCGGAAGTCGGCTGCCCGATTATTGACAGCCTTAGGTGCCTATTTTTCTACCTCAGTCAAAGGACAGAGCTAAGTGGCGTTAGAGATGGAAGACAAACCACAAAGGCAAACATCGGCGCTTTTGAGCGCGATACTTGCTGCATTTAATTTTAAAAAAGAATGTGATTGAAAATAGAAATGAGATCCAAACTGTGATCCTGACCACTGCGGACACTGCAGCCTCTCACTGGGGCTGGCCCATCAGCAAGTGTACTTTGAGTTTCAAATTAAAAGGGTAACAATCTAGAAACACATTACTAATAACCTCACTCCTCGGGGAGCAGAAAGGCCGCTCGAGTTACGGTGTCACAGAGACGTTCTCCAGGACCAGGCGACTGCGGGGTGCCCACACACAAGTGCCTGAGCTCTCCCGTGAGGGGCACTTTCTGAGTGTGATTACGTGTCTCTGCACGCCCACCGTCTACAGGGGCTAGAGCTTGCAGCCCGAGGCGTCTGCAGGCTCAGCACGGACCGGCAGGAACACTGGCTGCACCCTCCGGCTCGTCCCTGCTAAGGAGGCTCGGGGGACCAGAAGCCTTGCAGACCGCGGCACTACCAGTCACAGACTTATGAGGACGCATTTGAAAACAGGACCTTGCTAAATGTTTTTGTATAGAAACAAAAGTACGTCATGACTTTTCCGATGACCTAATAATTCTGAAAAGTGATGGAATATGTGAAGCTCAAAATACACTTAGCCAAGGTCCTTAACAGCATGTCGTGGGGTCTTCCGCAAAGAGCCAGGTCGTGTATTTAGTCCGAATAAGTGACGGTTACAAAATAAGGGTTTTTTAACTAGGTACAAAGACTTCACAGTGGCTCTTTTTAAAAAATGGAGAGGCTTTGGGAATTCCTGCTCTGACGGGAATTCCTTGAATGCAAGATGCCCGATTTCCCATCTCGGTAGGCATAGCTGGTGCCATGTGTGACCAGCAGCTGGTGCTCAAAAACCACTTGGTGAGTCAGGGTTCACTCCGATACCCAGGGTCCAGAGCCCAGACGGGAGCATCAGGGCTGTACCCAGGAGCCCCCGGGAGGAAGGCAGGGGTGTCCCTGCCCTCTGATCGCAGGTCCCCGAGGAAAGACGGCGATGGACAGAGCTGGGCTGGCTTTTTAGAAAAGCATGCATGAGATCAGTGGAAACGGTACAGGTTATTCTCATCACAGCACACGGTTAGATCACACAGTGGACATATCCGACCATCTCACCCAGGCGTAGGGACCCCCATAGTCCATGTCGGGCTGCGACTGTCGGAATAAGGATGGAGAAGCAGGAGGCCAGCAGAGGAGCCAGGACAAAGTAAAAGGTCGAGTCAAGCATGAGAACAAAGGAACAGGCAATTGTAAAAATCGGAACAAAAACACACTTGTAAATTTCTCCTAGGATCTCGCATATACTTACGAGAAGAATTACACTAGAATGGTAAGTATCATAGAACCAGCAACATTACATAAAACCGCCATGGTCAAGGCTGGTACAATTGAAGAACTCTGAAACGTTTGAGCACTCTTACTTCCACCTCTGCACCACACATTTGAACTGCACTAGGGAAATGGTTAACAGGTGAACTGTCAAGTTTTAAAGGAGAAAATGACAAACTTTCGATGTGCGAAATTTAGGTTTTCTGAGGGCCCTGTCTATACAAACATTTGGATTGCAAAAGCCCCCTGCCTTCTTTAGAGTTTATCCCCACTGCTAGTTGAACGAAAGAGGCCTGTGTTTCGGGAGTTAGGAAATAGAAGAAATGATCGTATATCAAAACTTCATCAAAACATATAGGCACAGCAGGGGCTGCCCCCTCACAGTGAGATGCGCCTCCGTCAGCAGTGCAGCTGAGCTGTCTCGCTGAAGGCTGGGTTAGCCAGCACAGAGCCACAGCCTGGGGAGTGGGCACTAGCACCGTGACTGAGCTGTGGCCCTGAGCAGGCCTCCTCCCCACTGGCTTGTCCTGTGTCTCTAAAAACAAGGAGGTTTGAATCCCATCACCAGGATCTAAGTTCCAAAGTTCAGTGTTTTTTCAAGAGTGTCTGTTTCTTCAGATCAAGCACAACACGGGAAGAGCAGTTTCACAAAGTGGCTGCAAATGAAAAGCCCATTCACCTCCCACCCCTTATTTAGCATCCTCAGGGGATACCCCCCAGAAAAGATTTTTATAACTTACACCAAAAGACTTGGTATCCTGCAAAGCCCCATGCAGCACAGAAAGTTAACTTGTTTCTGATGAAACCACTGAAAATGATGTGGGTGCTAGCCAGACGCTCATTAACGCTGCAACAGTTTAAGGCTGTCGGGGCCAGGAAACCTCTGGGGATCACAAGAGAAAATTCTTTTCCCAGAAAAATGCAAGTGCACACAACACCCTGCAGACGGTCTCAGGGGACGGCAGCTCCGACGATGAACATACTGGTAGAGATGTGGGTTCTGCCGGTCTCCCCGTTTTCCCTTCAGTCCGAATCAAGGCTCTGCTTCCACCACCTCCATCAAAGTTCTCGTCAGAGTCACCCCCGTCCTCCATGTGCCAGACCCAACGTCAGTCCTCCGTGTACCTGATCACTCGCCCTCATCCTGGAAACGGTTTTCTCTTCCCTTGGTTTCAGGGGCTCAACCTCTCCTGGGCCTGCTCGACGGCTGTAATGTCTGAGTGTGGCCTGCAGAGTCTGTAAACTGAGCTTCAATTTTTGGTACTGTGGTTATAGGAAGCTTCCTTCCTGTGCGTGAATCACGACTGAGGGTCTATGAAGGCGTTCCGAGTATATCTTAGATCACTGCGTAATACTAGAGCTTCCCCATCTCCGGAGAGTTCCAAACAGCAGGGGAGCACGGCTGAACCACACCTTCCAGCATGACTGCGCTGGGTCTGCTGTGGGTCCACAAGGACAGTGGTTACAGCGTCATTTAGTGGCATTATGGCGGCTCGTCTTAACATCTCCAAGTCACAAACAGCCTGCACACACTGGTGCGCGACTAAGTCCAGGAGTGGCATGACTTAGCTGTCACAGTGACAAAACGAGTCTGCAGCTCTAGACAGTCCTTAAATAAAACAGAGTGGGTGCTTTAGGATCTAATGCAATTTGGACCCCATGGTGAACTCAGTTGTCACGCCCAGATTCATTTACTGATGATGCACTAAGCAAATCACTGCTTCTCTACTTCTCAAAGTGCATGATTTTTCTCAAGTATAATTATGAAGGTTTTGAGAACATTTAAGAAAAAAAAATTTTTGGGGGGGACGTTTTTGCTATAGGGCATGTGTGCTCGCCAGAAAGACAGAGAGAGACAGAGAGACAGAAAGCGAGAAATCACCCCCCACCAGGGGGGATGGCCATGCACAATCCCTTCTCCTCCATTCTCTCGGGATCTTGGGCACGCACGCACACGCGCCCGGTGTGAGTTTATGCCACCGGGCTGAGACTCGAACTGCGGTCAACTACAAGGGAATCCAGCGACATAGCCATTACGCTAACTGCTGGTCCCAAGAAATGACACATTTGTGTTTATCAAGCCTGAAGCCATGGGTGAAGGAGAATTTCATTCCAGTTGATGGAAGGAAAGGCTTCTGCAGGCTGATGTGGTGTCTTTTGCAGCAGCCTACAGCAGTCACGTAAACACATACCAAATAACACAGCTTTCACGTACAGCACGTAGCTGAGGTCTGACTGCGCTGGGGCGCATGCAATAAATGGGCACGCAGACCAGCTCAGGGGAGACCGGGCCTCACGTCCCCGTCCATCCTGACAGTGCTGGGCAGCTGGTGAGCTTCGGCAGCTTTGTGACATGGACGAATGGAAGAAAATGATGACTTCCACTCTTGAGAGGAAAGCAACACAAAAAAGTATCTACACACATAAATAATCTCCCTACAACAACCAAGAGAATGTAGATTTTAAAATAAGCCTCTTGCCACTAAGATACTGACTAGGAGCTTTGAGGATAAAGGGTGAGCGATGGGAGTGCAGGGATGAGAAAGCGGAGGACTCGGACCGTGAACTGCACATGCAAACCCGGTCGTCCTGGTTACTGACCCTCAGGCTTCCACGACTACCCACTGACATGCGCTCGTCTTCATCAGAGGCCTACGGAGAGAGAGGAGGAAACAGCCATGAAGTGAAAACACAGCACACGCACAAAGCCAAGGCCCACGTCTCCGAGGGACGCGGCTGGTCGACGCCCCGGCAGTGCTGGGCCAGCCGCCTCCGAACACCTCGGGCATGAGCCTCTGTCCTCGGCAGCACGGGCTCTGCGAGCCCCGGTCTGCACAGGACTAATGGATAATACGGATTCCAATGAATTCCATTACGGGAGTACTCCTTCCTCCGCAGCTGGCTGACATTACAAATACTCAAAAGCACATCCGCAGAAACAGCACGAAAATGGTCATGAATACAGCAATACCCAATTTCTCAAACATACTTTCCTCACCAAATTTAGGGCAAAATGCTAAAAACGGAGCCCAAAGTCTTTGTTTGGGTAACACTATCAGTATTATATCAGTGCAGTTAATTTCTTTCGCAAATATTAAGAAATGATGTATGTATTTCAGCCGCTAAAAGGACAAAAGACCCTTCACGGGCGTGCCCAGGTGGCGAGGGACACGGTACTGACCGACGTGTTTCTTCTGGGCCTGCGGGAGTAGCGCTCGCTGTCCTCCTAGCAAGGCAAGGAGGAAACGCGTTAGCAGGTTAGAGACAGAAGTGAAGCTTTAGATAGTCCCATTGCAACGTTACACCGTACTTCCGATCTAAAAGTCAATAAACATTTGCTTCGCCTTTGTTTAAAAGGTTCAATTAAAAACCACTGGGGTGGGGATGCTTTCTTCTGGGAGACAGTTACTAAGCACACAAATAACTGGCAAATAACTGGCTCGAAAAACGTGTCAGGGCAGCAACTAGGCCTCAATTTTTCTAACCTCTATAATGCAGTATATTAAGTCACCACCACCACCACCCCCGCCCCCCGGCCGCCCCACACAGAATTTATTCTCTTTCCTTGGGAATTGGAAGATAAATCATTTCTGCAGAAGACCCAATAAGGCTGCAGGCCGGTCCACCTGACCTTGTACGTCCCAAGACTTGCACGCTTTTACGCTTCTTCGGAGTGGACATTGCTGACGCTGGGGCACAGTTATCATCCAAGCTGCTCACACATGTAATTAGCAGCAGTGTTTCTCAGCGGGACATGAAACAATGGCATGCCTTTCAGCTATGTCTCAAGTGTTGACAGACCTGCACCTGCCTGGCCGTATAAGCCTGAAAGGAGGCCTTCTGCAGGTAAGTGGACTCACTCCCTTTTCTCCGCTGAGAAGTGTGGGCTCTTTATATCTGAAGCACGGATCTTCTCTATTAAATACGGTCTCTAAGATGTCAGGAGATAATTCTACCTTCCTCTCGTCTCATATAAGAAACATTTAGTCGGACTCAGCCAGCCTGGCCAGGTTCTCGGATGCTGGGCTGTGAGGATGTCCTGGAGGCCAGCTGGTGAAGCGGCCGGGCAGGAAGAGGTGGGACATGACCAGGAGAGGGAAGCCCAGAGAGCGCCCCTCCCCGAGGCTGCACGGCCCCTCTGGAGAGCTAGAGTGCTGGGGGGGCCGCCTGGGCCGAGCCAGCTCTCAGTCGCCTTTGAAGGCGGAGTGGTCCAAGGGAACGGCTGAGAGATAAAGGGGTTTTCTCACCAAAGAACTGTGGTTTGGGGGGGGACAGTAGATGTGATGAGGAGAGGCCCCACAGCCGCGGTGGGTGGAGAGCAGGGTGAGGGTGACTGATGGGGCCGCAGGCTGCATGGCAACGAGTGAAGTGGACCGCGTGCCGCCGGCTCCAGCTAGCTCTTGGCGAGCAGTGTGGTGGGAGGGATGTTCTCACTCTGGGCACATGCCCAGCCTAAGTCCCTAGTGGGGTCCTCTGCCTGAGGTGAACTGCGACCCCCACACACTGCCACCACTAGCTACCAAACAGACAAGGGAGGACGCCTGGCCAGGAGGGCTCTAAGTAGGAAGTGACCCATCAGAGGCCAGATGCCGGGAGGAAAGCTCTCAGTATCAAATTACCACCGTGCACCAGGAGCCCATCTCTATAATTAAACTGCATTTCAATTGAACTGTAAACCATTTAAGTCTTCAAATTGTAGTCAAGGCCTACCATCCACTGCTCGATGTCACCCCATTTTGTGTCCAGCCCATAATACTTCTAGAGACAGAAGAGAGAGAAAATTAGGCAAGAAGTGAAGTGGTAACCGCAGGAACAAGCCTTGGGACATGCGCCTCCCTGCTGCCGCCCACGCTGCGCTGCGCGGTAAAGCCACACGCCAGGCCAGCATAGGCTCGGCCACGGGGACAGCAGAGACAGGTCCCTCCCCTCCAGCTCCACCCCTGCTGGCCAGGGCAAAAGCATT